GTGGTTTTTCTGCATTCTCCTGAGCCCAAGGATGATCATGTGACTCACTTTTGCCGATGAAATGTGAAGGGAAGAAAGGCGTGTGTCACTTCCAGGCAGCGGTGTTATGAACTGGCTCTTGATTGCCCGTGTTTCCCTTGCCCAGTCTCTGATCACTGAGAACACCCTAAAATGAAGCCACCGTGAAACTACATCCCTGAGTAATTAGGGTAAACGGAGCCTCCCTGCTGAATTGCAGAGGCCATGGAGTGTGAGTTATGAATAAGCACTGCTGTTTCAAGTCACTGGGATTTTTAGTGCTGCTTCTTATAGCAACATAACCTGGCCTATCCTGACTAATACAACAACTCAGTCTGACTTTTTTTGGAAGCTCAGTGCCCACTTCTCCAACTGCCTTCAAGATTTCTATCTGCTTTACTTAGAGAAGTATAAGCCTAAAATAGCTCTATTTATATTCATCATTTTCTTCCCCAACTCTGAAACATCCTTCTTCCCTGAATTTTCTATTTTGGCTAATGGCACCAATACACTTCTCAAAAGTCAAACTTATGCCGTCAGTTACCACATGTTGTCCAGCTTTTATTTACACCCTGCTGTGTTGTTCCCACTGGTCCTTCCAGGGTCTTAACCTTGGCTAGTACACTGCAGGGTCCACCCTAGACAGGTACATTACTGGATCAGTCCTAGACTAGTACACCTCTTGAGTCATCTCACTGTTTCCATTCTCTTTACTTTATAATCAACTCTTTTCCCTTTATCATTGGCTATTCATGAATATGGTAAAAGTAAATATCCAGATTGTATTATTCCTTTGTTCAAAAACTTCAATGTGCTACCACTGTCTACTGAATCAACTCTCAGTCCTTGGTCTAGCATTTAGACCCCCTTTTTTCTTACCTCTAATCTTCTCTCTGACTACTCCTTTGTATGGATCTTACATTAGCAATAAACCACTTAACTCACTATAAATGAAATATACTCTGAGCTAGTTTGCCTCTGGTACACGTAGAATTAATTCCTTGTTCTTGCTTTTCTTTCCACATGCCTGTTGAAACCCAAGTGAGTGACGTCGCTCAGTCGTGTCTGACTCTTTGTGACTCCATGGACTGTAGCCTACAACGCTCCTCCATCCACGGGATTTTCCAAGTGAGAGTGCTGGAATGGGTTGCCCTTTCCTTCTCCAGAGGATCTTCCCAACCCAGGGATTGAACCTGGGTATCCTGCATTGTAGGCAGATGCTTTACCATCCGGGTCATCAGGGAAGTCCTTGAAACCCAAATCCACCTTCAAAATCCTGCCGAGATGCCTGATCACTCCAACCAACAGTGACTCTCCTCTCTTCTGAGCCCTCAGGTACTTGCTTTGCTCAACTTCTTACTGTCCCAGTAAATTCTGCAGGATTCTCATCTCTCCTACGGTAACCTTTCCTCTTTGAACTCACCATATCCTGAACACCTTTGACTTCCTCACAGAGCACAGTTCCTAACTTTTATTGTTTTTCCATAAACACTATTTGAGTGAAGAAGCTCCAGGACATGACCTCAATTCGCAGAAAAGTTGTGTGACTAAGCGAAGTGAATGCATGTGGGAATTTCACAGTTTGACAAAATGGAGAGCTGTATCAAGTCTAAGCAATAATCAGTGTTATTACTGTTGTCTTTTTGGGTCTGCATCTAATACAAAAATGGGCCATCACCGGGCTATGAAATTTCATTTGATGTGAATTAGAGAAGTATTGCTGGTGGTAATGACCACCTAAATATTAGAAACATCTGTGGCTCACCATCATTAGCTTTCCCCAGTGTGGTTTATTAAAGAAATACTGTCAGATCCCAACTGTATACTTAAGGCTGTTTATTTATAGCACAGTCGGTATTGGAGCAGTAACTGGAAACCCTCAAATCTCCCTGCTGTCACTGGTTTACAGGGGAAAAAAAAATCTTATTATTGAAATGACTCCTTTATAACATTCTCCTTGCTCTTGGATATCAGCTTTTCACCATACCCATCTAACCCCGGGTGACATACACTGTAAAGTAATGAGTGACCACAGAGCTCATGACTCTCTAAAGAAACACAAATGCAGACAACCATGAACATGAACTTGCTCTGAAACTCTCCACATCAGCAGCTCTTTAAAGTGTAGTCCCCAGACCAGTAGCACCAGCAGCGCATGGATCCTTGTTGGAAATGCAGATTCTTGAGCCCCTTCTCAGACCTACCAACTCAGGAACTCTGGCAATGGGGTCTAGACATCTGTATTTTAACAAAGTCTTCCTGTTAGATGGACACTCAAGTTTGAAAACCAGTGCTCTATACTGTGTGTTAAGATCTCAAGTCAAGAGAACTGAGTAAAGTTCATTACTAGTGGGGTAAAAGATGTCTCTGGGTTTTAGACTGTTTATCTGTTCTTAATATATTAGGCCTATTGCTGCCCTGACACAGTTTGTGTGTACGTGTGTGCTTAATGAAAGTATTCATATGAACGTTTTTGACGAAAAGATTGATGTCACAGCTTAACAGATATTCTGAATTGTACATTATGTCACAGTTTTAGCTTGTCTCTTGGGTTAAGTAGAGGCTCATTCAAAGCAGCTTAAATTGGGGGGAGGGAATTACTGTGAGCAGTCAGGTGAAGTGAGTAGGAGATCCTTTGGATGTCTCAGAAGAAGAGATCTAAAACAGGATGAAGCCTCACGCAGTCTGTAGCTGACTGATGGTTCTGAGTTTAAGTTTGGTCAGAGTGTCCTGGCAGAGGTGCCATACCACACCATGACTGTGATGCAATCGCAGTCTCATCTGTTTGCTTTTTAAAAATCCTACTATCAACTTCCTCTGTTTAATCATGTTTTTTTGTGCTTCACAATTTTGGGTTGTAGGGTTAATTCTTTCAGTGTTTTTCTTTTGAGAGAAAGAGTATGACAAGATCAACTTATCTTTTGGGTCCCGCATTATTGGTCGTTTTTGGTGAGAGTCAGATACTTACTTGATAACTGATACTGTGCAGACCTAAACCAATCAAAATGAGAATCAACATATTAGAAAAGATACCAACCGATTAGAATGCACGCTGACTGAAAACACCCGGCATGGCCATACCACAGCATTCCTGCTGAATATCAGGCTGCAAAAGAGCTGCTTAGATCTGTCCCTTTTCAATGGGCTTTGGGCAGAGCAAAAGGATCAATATAAGCAGAAATGACAGGCATTTTATTGCTCAATAGCATAACCACAGAGCTTGGCACAGTGCCTGGCACATAGTAGACACTCACTAAATGCTTATCAGGGCATTTGATTTGGAAACTATGCTTCTAAATATTTAAATAATACCTATACTTAAAAGTCAAGCTCTGAGTTAAATATTTTGTCCCTTTCTTACTATTGGCCCTTGAGTCTGCTTATCTATTCCTCTTGCCCTAACCCCTGCCTCACCAACATCGCATGAACCATTTCAACAATCTTCTAGTTCATCTTCCTATCTCTAGAATCTTTCTCTCTGATACAACTTATATATTCTCTCCAAAGCATTTCTCTATTGCAACATTTAAGTATTCCAGTCACTTATCCGTTCTTCTGTTTGAGGATATGGTAATGAGTAGAAAAAGTATAAAGACGTACATAAAGATGACAAACAGAAATACAGGATGGTAGTTGCTTCTCGAGGTATAAGGAGGAATTAGAAAAAGTTTCAATCAGCTAGTATAATTCTTTATGTGCTATAAATTTCAAATTAGTTTACATACTTATCCTTATAAAACACAAAAGAGTTGATCTTTTAAATTTTATTTTTATTTTTTTATTTTTGGCTGTGCTGGATCTTGGTTGCTTTGCACAGACTTTCTCTAGTTGCAAAGAGTGGAGGCTACTCTTCCTTGCGGTACATAGGCTTCTCAGTTGCACAGGCTTATTTGCTCCACAGCGTAGGTACTCTTCCTGGACCAGGGATTGAACCTGTGTCCCCTGCATTGGCAGGCAACTTCTTATCCACTGTGCCACCAGGGAGTTCCAAAAGAGTTGATGTTATTGTGCTATTATTAGTAGTACTACCATTAAAATAAATAAATAACATTTTAGCTGCAGATTTCTGCTTCTAGTTGTAAAAGTAATGCTGGACTTACCTTCCTTCTAAAAACAACTATAAAACTGAGCAATATCTATGAAGCAACACTTTTCAGGTATGAAACAACACTCAGTGTAGAACTGTGAACTGAGAGGAAGAAATTCCTGGGCATTCTGGGTTTCTATCTGGGGACACTTTCCTGGCTCAGCACAAGGAGGTAGAGACCAAGCACAGTCATCATCCTGCTGAGCTGAGGTGTCAAGGAGCAGCATTCTGGGCTGCTGAAGCAGCTGGAAGTTTTGGACAGGATACCTGAGAAAAGGAAGCTGTACAGAGAGGTGACCTTAGAAGTCAGCATGTTAAGTCGCCTCAGTTCCTTGGCTGAGGACACTACTGTATACAAAAAGGCTAGACTTTAGAGAACAAATATTTTGAGGAGATTAACTGAGAGATGATTCTGGGAGATGTTGAATTGTAGATCAGCCAGAGTGGAGACTTCTCCTTGAGTAATTCGCACATTCAGTTGTTATTCCAGAAAAATCATGACTTAAGGAGGAGAGTCATGCTCTAAGGCTAAACTCAAAACTGAAACGGACCTGCCTACCATAGAATGAGACAAGTCTGATGTGACCCAAAGACTTTACCAATGACTTAATAGTAATTTAAATATAAAAAAAGCACATCTAGGTAGAATGTAATCAAACCACTGAAAACCAAAAATGAAAAGAAAATCTTCAAAGCAGTCATATTTTTAAAAATGTGTTTAAAAATCACAAAGAAGAGTACAAATAATGGCTGACTTCTCATCACAGATAACGGAGGCCAGAAGACAATGGAATGATATCTTAAAGTTGTATAAAACAAAACACAGAATTCCGACAATGTAGTTGTCATGGCAGGAGCAGTAGCTACCATTTTGTAACCAGGAAGTAACCTTGAAGAAAAAATAGGCCTGTATTTTAAGGCTCCTTTTACTGGGGACTCTGATACCTATGACTGAACACAATCTCTAATTAATATAGGAAATAACTTTGGTTGAGCACTTATTATATACTAAGCTATGTTGGATGTGGTCATTTCTTTTGTCATTTAAACCCCCAAGGCCCAGAAGTGAGCTTTCTATGCCTCTGTTTACAGATGAATAAACTGAAACAGAAAAGTGAACAGTAAAGAGAAAAGCTCATCTCTTTTACGCAATCTTCCTAGAGAAAATTAACTAGTTCTTCCTCTGAATGCACCTGTCTAGTACATATCTTATCTAGCAACTGACATACAGATATAGAAGAAGACGTTTGGGGCGTATCAGAGTATCGCTTTGCAGCCTGGAATGGTATCTGATTCACCATGGCATTGCAGGTGCCTGAAGAATTTAATGTATATTTTTTAAAAGTAAAATCAAGAGAATACACTGTCTTGTAGTATATTCTCTAGAGTTGTCACTGTTAAGAAGACCCAGTTGTGTAGTGGAGACAAGAACCAGTGGGAAACAGGTGAAAGTTTTACCACTGGGAAACCAAGAACCAAGAAGTTTTTACAATCTTCAGTCTCCTGCCAGGACCACTGCTTGCTGATGTCTCAATGCTTCTTAGACTCTTAAGTTCTATTCTGTTTCTACCAGTGTAACTCATTATATTAACAGAACGTAGGAGAAAAAAAAGCACAGACCTATCTCAGTTGAAGGAAAAAGGCATCTGACAAAATTTAACATCCATTCAGGATAAAAGCCCTCAGCAAATTAAGGATAAAAGGAAGCATCCTCAATATGATAAAGCACATGTGCAACAATCCTACAGCTAACATAGCACTTAATGGGTAAGTATTGAATACTTACCCCTGCCAAGACTGGAAGTCTTGGGCAGGACTTCCAGGAAAGCTTTCAAAATAGAAGTTTCTGCCACCATCACAAAGTAGAACATTCCTATGAAATCTTATAAGCTGTTAAAGCGATCACCTTAGGACCTGTCTTGCTAAGGGATGCACAGAATAAATGGAGGTAAGGCAAGGTGCTCACAGATACAGTTCGAAGCTGTGGCAGCTTGATGCTGAGATGGTGAGTGAGTCCCTTCCTGGGGAAGGAGCTTGGCAGGGTCGTTCTTGCTGCTTGGTGTGCGTACTGACTCTGGAAGTGAAAGTGAAAGTCGCTCAGTCGTGTCTGACTCTTTTCAACCCCATAGACTGTACCATGGAATTCTCCAGGCCAGAGTACTGGAGTGGGTAGCCTTTCCCTTCTGCACAGGATCTTCCCAACCCAGGGATCGAACCCAGGTCTCCTGCATTACAGGAGGATTCTTTACCAGCTGAGCCACAAGGGAAGCCCAAGAATACTGGAGTGGGGAGCCTATCCCTTCTCCAGTGGATCTTCCCGACCCAGGAATCGAACTAGGGTCTCCTGCACTGCAGGCAGATTCTTTATCAAACTGAGCTATCAGGGAAGCCCACTGGCTGTATAAAGGGCACTGCAAACAAACGCTGAACACTATTTTTGCTTTCACTAAAAATGAAAAGAGTACTAATGTAGGTTTTTCCTGAAGGTGAAGTGGTACCAAGTGGAGGGTGCCTGTGTTTCCCCACCTGACTCTGCCCTTTACTCCTCCTGAGGAACTAGATCTTCAGTTCTGTGAGTTTGGAATTATTTCTCTAACAGTCTTGAGGCACCAAGTTTGTACCTAAAGATTTACTGCATGGTCAACGTTGAGTTCTCAGCACCTCTCAGAACTCAGAACATTCAGGATCAACCAGTCCTTCCTCTGGCCCCCATGTCCCCACATCACTGGGGACTTGGGGGGGATGCTTTGATTTCTGTTTGGTTAGTTTTGTTTACTATGTCACAAGCAACTTACATAAGCTTCCTGGCTGTTATCATCAGGGCCCAACTGGAGTCTTCAGGGATCCTGATGTTCTTGAGTGGGCACCCAAGAAGTCTTTAGTCCCTGGCAGCCCATCAGCCAAACTTATGACAGAAGGGAGCCCAGACGCTGGAGGTGAGACCCAGAAAAGAGCCTGACCCACTTCTTGCTTAGGAAGCATCCAGAGAAGCTGCATGAGCAGGAAAGTGAGGATCTGCCCATGGGGATCCTGAGGTCGCCCTGCTCCCATCTAGAGTTATCTTCCAGGATCTGGGACTTCCCCTCCCATTGCCGATGCTCCAGGACACATAGAGCCAGCCCATATGGAGTGAACTCTCCCAGGGTATTTTTAAAGTCCTAGCTTTTGGATGACTGCCCAACTCTGCCGGCCCAGCTGCTCCCATCTGAGAAGGCCCTGAGCTACCTTCCTGCTTGAGATTTCTCACTGTCATCATTCTTGCGTGCAGGCCTGACAGTGGGCTGCTGAATCCATTGGGAGAACCTTCATTTCCAGGAGGGGAATTAAACAAAGTCTGCTGTTAGCTCAGCAGAACCACCTCCATATCCAGCAGTTAGTGCCCTGAATTTACAGACGGACCTGTTTGTTTCCTTAGGGGCACTTGTAACATCAATGAAACAGACCAGCTAAGAATGAAACAATTTTCAACAGATTTTAATTAATTGCTTACACTCAAAATAGTTAAGTTGGTGACGGACAGGGAAGCCTGGCATGCTGCCATCTATGGGGTTGCAAAGAGTTGTACATGACTGAGCGACTGAACTGAACTGAAAATAGTTGAAATTTGCAAGTCCTTATTTTGTACTATATAGTGCTGTGTGTTCTACATACATACTCTCATTTAATCCTATGACAACCCAAAGCATTGGATAGTTTTACTCTTTCTATTTTGCAGTGGTGGTACTGAGACTCAGAATATAAATGATATTGTCAAGGACGAACACTAAGTAAGTGGCAGAACTGGGAACCAGCCAATAGAATGCAATTCTAAAACACAGAAACAAACAAAAACCCCAAAACTAGTCTGTTAAGTAGAAGCTAGTCATTTACACTCTTGGGAGTAAGTCACTACTTAATTTCATAGTTATCACAATGAAGAAGGAAGATACTGGTCATGATCAGACAGTGCCCTAGAGCTTTTAATTGATGTGTTGAAAAATTCAGAGGATATAAGGATGATTCCCTGGCAGGTGTGGTAATGGCTAAAGAAGCATGCAAAAACCAAGGAAAAACAAGTCGTCCTAATATTCCAACAAGAAAGAAGGGAAAGACAGACAAAACAGAAATATATAAACCAAACATGTAGGTGAAAAGTCTAATTACAGAGAGGTTCCATTGATGAGCTCTGATGAGAAAAGGAAGAGGCAGGCGTCCATCAGTGAGGCAAGGGGCATCTGGGCGAGTATCTATGGGAAGGGTGGCAGAGGCTGGAATATGGTGAACCAGAAAAAAATGCTGACGGTAATAAAAATGGCTCTTTTAACAGCCCTCAGAATGGGAGAAAATAATAGCAAATGAAGCAACAGACAAAGGATTAATTTCAAAAATATACTAGCAGCTCCTGCAGCTCAATTCCAGAAAAATAAATGACCCAATCAAAAAAATGGGNCATCTTCCTATCAAGGGACACCATGGTTCATTTAGCTTTGAATCTATCATAGGCGAAGAGATTTGGGGGCCATTGGGAGGGGTTTATGAGCTGTAAATTGAGTGCTCTGAGAGCAATTAAGCATTTAAATTAGAGCGATGTGTAAATTTAACAGCTGGTAAGTGTTGTCAGTCTCGAGCTACAGACCACCTGCTTGGCATAATCTGCATACAAACTGAAGAAAATAAATTGAATAGTGGAGAGTAGAATCTGGATTCGGTAATTTGGAGAATAAATTCTGATTACACATACTGCTGGAGTATCTTTAAAATTAATCTGGAAGTACAGCATGTCCTCTAGGAATGTTTGACTGGACAAATCTGTTCAGCTATTTAAAATGTGCTTAAATTACAGTAATTACTCTCATAGTTAATAGCTTGGGATTGTTTCAAGAGAATCTGACCCTGAAGACCGATGTCTATTTATCTTATAATCACTTTTTGGTGTTAAAAAGAACGGTTCTTAATGAAGACGTAGACATTTCTATTTACACACATGGTATTTATAAAATTTATTGAGACTGGTTCTCACCAGCATCCCAGGGTCCTCCCTCAGGACTTGCCAAGGGGAAAGAAAGAGAGTTTCTGAGACATTGGTCTACCTTTCTATCATTGACCAATTTCTCAATTAAATATGTTTTAAATCTTCTGTAATAAAGTATTGTCAATTGTTGAAGGGAAAAAACGTCATGGGATTTGAATTTATACTTGGTCTAACCTTCATTTATTATTCCTCCTTTTCATGTACAAATCAACTCACCATAGATGGATGGCTCTCTGAGCTTTTTTAAGGTGGTAGGTTAGTAATTTCTGGATAAATCAGGAGACATAAATCACAGAAGGAAGCTCTGCTTTTCTATTAATTGAAAAGGGGAAAGTTTTGAAAAGTTTGAAGGGTCTTTAAAGTTGCTATAGTTTTTTGTTTCCTTCTTATCTTTGTTTTGGAATAGATGAGTTCCTGAAGCGCAAGCTCAGAAACTTAGTCCTTCATGCATTCATGAGTTTATTCAACAAATACACCTCACTACATGCCATGGCATCACCGACTCGATGGGCATGAGTTTGAGTAAACTCTGGGAGTTTGTGATGGACAGGGAAGCCTGGAGTGCTGTGATTCATGGGGTCACAAAGAGTCAGACATGACTGAGGGACTGAAATGAACTGAACTGAGTTCATGCCAAGCCCATATCCATGTCCTCATTAGACTCAAATAATAACTCAGAGGTACTATAACCAGCAGTTCCTTCCTCCTTCCCCATCTCTCCTCTCACCCCCCCTGTGCTTTGTTAGCACCTTGTAGTAGGAGGTACATAAAACAAAAGTAGTAAATCTGTATTTCAGCAAGTTATTTGAGAATGACTCTGTGGATTGCCTGAGGATAAAGAGGGAAGATGCATGGTGGACGATGGTAAGGTGAAGTGGTCTCATAATTGATTGAACAACTCTGCTGTCAGGGGACCCCAGAGGTTTGCATCTGGATATACCACTTAGTAGGGCTTCCCTGGTAGCTCATCTGAAAAAAATCCACCTGCAGTGCAGGAGACCCTGGCTTGATCCCTGGGTCAGGAAGATCCCTGGAGAAGGGATATTCCACTCCAGTATTCTTGCCTGGAAAATTCCATGGACAGAGCCTGGCGGGCTACAGCCCATGGGGTCCCAAAGAGTTGGATCCAACTGAGCGACTAAGCACAGCACAGCATACTCCTTATCTGATGGGAAACTTTGTTCATATTATTTAAGCTCTTTGAGCTGCAGTTTTCTTATCTGCAAAATAAAGATAACATGATTTACTTCGCAAGGATTGTTAGATTTCATATATTAAAGGCATCTTGTGGCTCAAACAGTAGTCTGCCTGTAATGTGAGAGACCCATGTTCAGTCCCTGGGTCAGGAAGATCCCCTGGAGAAGAGAATGGCAACTCAATTTTTGAGCGTTTTTGCCAGGAGATCACAAGGACAGAGGAGCCTGGCAGCTACAGTCCATGGGGTCACAAAGAATTGGACATGACTGAGTGACTAACACGTTCACTTTCATAAACTATAATGTATTACATGTCAATAAATATTAATGTCCAGCAATATTATCAGTAGAGGGTCAAAGCTTTGATCTTAACCTTATTTTAGTCAACATTTAATAATGGAAGAAAACAGAGGAAACACCTTTATCAAATTTTCAGGTAACCCAGAGCAGACAATGAAAGCAGATACATTTGATATTCTTAATAATTCAGAGTTTATGCTAAAGTTAGGCTGGAATATTCAACAAACCCAATTAAAAAAAAATAACTCATCGGGAATGAA